TGTACCTTTTTTTCTAAATGTACTTTCTCCAGCTAATGCACTAAACAGTTTAATAATTTAAAATTGTTTAGACCAGTAAAGCTATTAAGTGCGGACTCAGTTTTAATGAAGTGGCTTAATGTTAATACCTCAGGAGTATTAACTTGTAGACCAAAATCTCTAACACTTTTTGGGCCACAGTAGTTGGGTTGTGAATTCAACAAACTTATTAATTGTTCTGCAGCATGCATTTCCTCTTCTGTATGTCCCAAACCAGCGTCCTCCTCATTATGTATGCACTTTTCAGCCACTAATATTGGATTTTCCACTTCTTCTTGTAACAATGTTTTTTTATGTTATCGATTTTCTAACCTTAAACTTCTAGAAGAAGGTCCAGGTTGATCCTCGTCTCCCAAAGGTAACTTCCTAGACGGTACTGCATTAAATTTTAGTCGATGTAATTTAGAGCTGTCTCCTACAAACAAAAACTATTAATACAGAAATCCAAAAAACAACTGAATACTAACCTCTATTAAAGTAATCGTTTTCAGAGAAATGCAACGAACATACTCTCATGTACGGACTCACAGGCTTTCCAATTTTTAATTTCCTTATCCATTCCTCTCTCCGATCAACAGCTTCACGTTTTCCTAATTTAGTTTCCACCAAAACACGTTGTCCTTTTTTGGGAAATGTATGAAAACTAAGTTCTTTATTTACTTTTACCCAAGAGGAACACATGGGAACGCAACAGTGATGGTTCATTTTGATAAACTAATCAATTTTTATCAATGTAACAACTTTAAAATATCACACACAAACAGAAACCGTAAAATCAACGTATGAATCACATATGTAAACAGAACATTAATGGCCCACTGGAAGGTTTAAAAAAAAACTATAGGTGGCGTATCGCTTATTTTGTCTTGCCTATACAACAAGAAACAACAAATTGGTTTATAAAAATGTATAAAAATTTTTAGATACAGTGAACTAATGGTAAAGATAAAAATGTATCATTTTCTAGTGGAAAAAGTATACATTATGCTACAATAATTTCACAAGAAAATTCCTAAATCTGGGACAGTTTGTTTACGGTTACAATATTTATATATTTAGAATCAAAGGGGTAACTATAATAACTCTCATATGACATGAACTCTTTTCCAATTATTACAGTTTCGCCCGCGAAATTTTTCAAAATATTAAGAACTTGAATCACTTCTACTGCTATTATTTAATAAACAATATGAATCTGCGCTGGAATATGAATTGATTGTCAAGATAAAGTTTTTGTAGAACATTTTTTTGAATTGAGTGTACTTATAATATTTAAGAATAGAACCAGAATAGTGCTCTATGCTCATTTTTTTGTTACCCTAAATAATTTTCAAAGGGAAAAGCTGAAAAATTTTCTAATGCCCCATATATTTCAACATCGTTAACAATATGACCTAGAATATTGTCACGTTAAAAAGGTGTTGGGTGTCCAACCCTTTGTTTTATGCCAAGCTAGGGGGTCTAGGTTTACGAACCCACAGTGCTGGGATGGAAATAACTCGACGTAGTAGACAACAATAACAACTTTATTTACTTACAACAACTGGCTTACTTATAGCAGTCCTTACAATAATCCCTTAGCGGTTCGGGCTTTGTCACGGAGTCTACCCCTCTCGTACTCCCGACTCTTGGGAGTCCCTTGGACCCTCCACTGGAGTCCCCGGACTCCCCTACGGGACCTTACCAGTCCCCTTACTGGAGTTCAACTGACTCCCTCGCTGGAGCTCAACTGACTCCCCGAGCCAGGTCAACCCACCGCTTATAAAGCAGTTGCCCGCGTCGACTTTGCTTCCGCTTTACCGTGGAGCAAGGTCGATGCGTGCTTCTGCAGCACGTACGAAGATCCGTGCTTCGCTACCCAATACTTGACGGTTGGTTGACCCTTACCGGGGTGCCACCAGTGGCGCTACCCAATCGTGACATGCCCCCCTTCCACTAAAGCCAGCCCCTGGCTTTGTCCCACTTATCAACTACATATTACCTATCTCTCCTATTTTTATTTACAATACTAATTCCCTACTAATGTCACCCGTCACTACACTTGCCGCACTGTCCTATTCCACCTCCTCTTAGTGTTCGCCTCATCACCGTTGTCCGTTGTTACCCGCCGTTGATCCCTTCCAGCTGGTCCGTCCTGGTCTGCGGTCCTTGCTGATGTGGGTCTCTTCCGGTCTCGTCTTAGACAATCCTTCCTCGGTGCGGGCGACATCTTGCCCCTCTCCTTTACGTGACGCCTCGTCGTGCTGTCCCCTTTCTTACTGCTGGGATAACGGCCTCTGTTACGATGTGACGGGTCTTTCCTCTGGTCTCCTCTAGTCCGTGGTTTTGGCATTCCTCGGACGGAAACGGCCTCGTGGAATCCCGTCGCGCACAGTGGTTGATCCCAGCTTTAGCTTGGTCCTGGCACCTCCTTGTCAGCCCGTCTCTACTTCTCCTCCTCCGGGTCCGCCCCTCGGGTCTTTCCATCGTGCCCCTTTGTAGTCCGTGGTTTTAGCATGCCTCGGACTGGGGCCGCTTGGTGGAATCCCGTCGCGCATTGGGGTGGATCCCTCCTCCGGTTAGAACCAGGCGCCGTCTCGTCCCTTCGTTTCTTCTTCTACTAATCGAGGTCCTCCCCTCGGGTCTTTCCATCGTGCCCCTCTGTAGTCCGTGGTTTTAGCATGCCTCGGACTGGGGTTGCTTGGTGGAATCCCGTCGCGCATTGGGGTGAATCCCTCCTTCTCCGACGTTGGCGGGGTTTCCTAACCGGAATAGGAGCATGCCTTGTGCATCGTCCTGTCGGTCCTCTCGTCCTAAACGATCCTTTTTTCTGCGGGGTAACAACTTCGAGCTTGACGTGGTGGTCAGATCCTCTCGTGGTCTTGGCACGTTCGGGTGAACATTTTAACAATATATTCTTAATGTACACCTATATCTGCTAACACTATTACTATCACTGGTTACTGTCTACTATTACTATCTATTACTATCTACTTTCTATATTTTCTATTTACAATTTTCTTACAATACTACTCTGGATGTATAAAACCTATCTACCTAGCCCACTATTCTATCCTGAGGCGGGTCATTGGTGTCTCCTTACCCCTATTATTTACATCTACTTACATTTACGTATCTACCCAAACTATTTATAAATTTGTGAACTTGACCGTTCACGCTCACCGGCGCCACCAATGACCTCCTTACGTTTGCAAAAAAATATATATAACAAATCGCACGAACTTTGCAAAACAATAAACAATAAATATTTTTACTTACGTTCAATTTCGCATACTACTTACTGTAGGTAAGCCTTCATTTCCTCCTTTCGCTTATACTAAAAGGTGCAACTACCACCTCTTTCCATTTTTGGGGAAAGCCCTTTTCCCCTACTTCGCTTCTACTGGCGGATAGATCCCGCCCTTCTGGACTTCCATGTCCAGGATTCCCTCGTCTTCCTCGACGTTTCTCCTGTTTCGCTTCTACTGGCGGATAGATCCCGCCCTTCTGGACTTCCATGTCCAGGATTCCCTCGTCTTCCTCGACGTTTCTCCTGTTTCGCTTCTACTGGCGGATAGATCCCGCCCTTCTGGACTTCCATGTCCAGGATTCTCTCGTCTTCCTCGACGTTTCTCCTGTTTCGCTTCTACTGGCGGATAGATTCTGCCCTTCTGGACTTCCATGTCCAGGATTCCCTCGTCTTCCTCGACGTTTCTCCTGTTTCGCTTCTACTGGCGGATAGATTCCGCCCTTCTGGACTTCCATGTCCAGGATTCCCTCGTCTTCCTCGACGTTTCTCCTGTTTCGCTTCTACTGGCGGATAGATCCCGCCCTTCTGGACTTCCATGTCCAGGATTCCCTCGTCTTCCTCGACGTTTCTCCTGTTTCGCTTCTACTGGCGGATAGATTCCGCCCTTCTGGACTTCCATGTCCAGGATTCCCTCGTCTTCCTCGGCGTTCCTCCTGTTCGCTTCTTCTGGCAGGTCATTCCCGCCCTTCCGGACTTCCAAGTCCAGGATTTCCTCGTCCCTTTTGACGTTTCTCCATTTGGCCCTTCGCTGGCGGCTATGTCCCGCCCTTCCGAAATTACCTTGTCCGGGGTTCTCTCGTCCTCTTTAAGGCTGCCTATTTTTCCCTTTCTACTGACGGATAGGTCCCGCCCTTCTGGAACTACCTAGTCCAGGATCCTCTGGTCTGCTCCAAACCGTCACTATTCATTCGCTAAATAAAATACGCTTGGTCAAGAGACATATTCATTCGACTCGGTAGGTCATTTACCGGGCCGATCATCAATATTTACACTACGTAAATCCGCGTTTATATTTTTCAAAACAAACAACTATCGGTCTATGTCTCTTGACCGTGACCGCGGGTCACAAACGCTACGACACCTTTCCGTGGTGTCACGAACTTTACGCTGCAAAATGACTGATTAAAAAATTCTAGGGCCCTTCCAGGGTCCCAAATTCACCTTCTATTCGCTATCTATCGTGTATCTACGTCTTGTCCGTCCCTTTCTGGAAACCAAATGGTTCCAAAAATAATCTCCATCCCCTGCACTGCTGGGTCGCTCGAGGGAAATTACGAAGAATTATCCCTCAGGAACGAAGCTAGGCGCCTCCACCATGTCACGTTAAAAAGGTGTTGGGTGTCCAACCCTTTGTTTTATGCCAAGCTAGGGGGTCTAGGTTTACGAACCCACAGTGCTGGGATGGAAATAACTCGACGTAGTAGACAACAATAACAACTTTATTTACTTACAACAACTGGCTTACTTATAGCAGTCCTTACAATAATCCCTTAGCGGTTCGGGCTTTGTCACGGAGTCTACCCCTCTCGTACTCCCGACTCTTGGGAGTCCCTTGGACCCTCCACTGGAGTCCCCGGACTCCCCTACGGGACCTTACCAGTCCCCTTACTGGAGTTCAACTGACTCCCTCGCTGGAGCTCAACTGACTCCCCGAGCCAGGTCAACCCACCGCTTATAAAGCAGTTGCCCGCGTCGACTTTGCTTCCGCTTTACCGTGGAGCAAGGTCGATGCGTGCTTCTGCAGCACGTACGAAGATCCGTGCTTCGCTACCCAATACTTGACGGTTGGTTGACCCTTACCGGGGTGCCACCAGTGGCGCTACCCAATCGTGACAATATGTACATTATAAACATAAAATTCGTTTCCATAAATACATGTCTAATTCTTCGGGTACTTATCTGTGGATTAGCCTCTACCATATTGACAATATTATTTTCATTATTTAGAAATCTTTTCTCTTCGTGTTCAATGTTTTTAACTGTAGGGAATGTACCATGTTCACCTAAATAGTTAAAAACACGAATAAATGTTTTTCGATCGGGAGCTCTTCGATCAGGAAATCTTCTTTCATATTCGATTTTTGCGGCTGAAGCGCTACCATTGTAAAAACCATAAACAAATACCATGTCAGAGTATTCTCGATTAGAATATTGATGCGGCATTTTTTTAAATCTTTTAGGACAATGCGGAATAAACTCGGATAAACTAATACAGTCCTAGAAGATCGTACACTAAATGTCAAAAACCAAATAAATTACATTAAAAATGACACGAACAAACGTGATATTTTAATTTCATAGCCTACTTTCAGCTTCAGTGCTTTCGATTGG